CAGGCTTGCTCCAAAATAGGCATTCAATAAACTTTTGCTGTTTTAGTGTTTCTGAGATGCTGCAGCTATGAGAAAATAGCCGTCTTCCTGGAGCCTGATTTAATCCAGGGAAATCACTGGGATTCAGTATTCTGGTCAGAACAGATCAATTCCACCCCTTAAATCCTCTTTCTGGGGTTCTCACCAAATTAAAAAAAAAAAAGACAAAAGGAAATACAACAGTTTTACCTAGGATTTATTTGCTTTGAGTCAAATTTTCCTCTATCCAGAAAGTTGCTTTCACTGATGGACACAGCAGTGAGCTAGCAGTCCCTGCGCTGCTTCCTGCCGCCCCTCCATAATGCACTGACCATCTGCATTGTGGAGCAGGCTTCCAGAGTATTCTAGACACAACCTGGCAGTTTTCAGATACCCACACAGAGTGGGCTCCTTGCCGCTAGGGGTGTGTGGCCGAGCCCAGCCAATAATTCTCTGTGATTTGATCATTCCCACCAAATAAATGGGTTGAAGAGCAAACATGAAGGTGAGAAGACTGCAGGGGACAGATCTGGAGGGACTGATAGGAGGTGGCAAAAATGTGAGCAGGAGCAGCAGTGGGGAACTCTGTGCATTCGGCACAAAATCTGAAAGGCACCCCTGTTACTTCTAAGGCAGCAGCTGTAGTGGTTTTCACAACTGTCTAGTAGCTTTGTTAAGAAAGTGGCCTCTGACTTTTGAACACTAACCATGCCAGGTGGCAAAGGGGGCAGAGATCAGAGGAAGAGGCGGTGAACACCCTGTGTTCAGGGGTTCTGCCAGCAGCCCTGGGAGAACTGCACCAGAATGTTGGAACTGGAAAGGATCTTAGCATTATATTAAAATGCGTAAAATTCTCCTTTTCTAGCCATCCCCGCTCCCACCCCCACCCCAGCTCCTTAGGTCTGATTTTAGGAACTCATAAGTCTGTTTCCCGCTACAGAAACAACTGTCATTTGACATAATTTTATCCAATAACAGACTCACGCCATGTCCCCTTCCTCTCTTTCCCCCCCTCCCCTTTGTATGTGAGGGGAGAACTTCTCACTTGTCAACCTCTCTGCATGACCCTACTCCCAATGGGCAGATTTACTCATAATTCCCACCCAACAGAATCTTGGATTTGGGAAAATGAGGTAGGGATGGAATACAGTGCCCTGTGGGTGCTGCCGTGCTCCTGCCCGCACATGTGCTGTGTGGCAGGGGCCCTGCTGGGGCGGGCTATCTGGAACCATCTGCCCGGGAGAGCCAAGGTCCTCTTGGGAGAGAAAGGACCCTCATGAGGCCCATGGGCTGGGTCTGATCCTTGCCCTTTGGAGGGGGTGGGGGTGGAGACAATTGGAAACAAGCCCCGGGTGCAGCTTTTCAGGTTTTCCTCTGGCTAGTCTCATGGACTCACCTGTGAGCACATAGGAGGGAGAGGCCACACGATAACTGAAACAGTTAGTCCCCGTAAGGTGTGGTGAAACATTGGTAGCTCAAGAGAGCAGCGGGAGAGTCCCACAGAACTGAGGGGTCTGCCTCTGGCCAGGCCACCGCACAGCTCGGCCCACCCAGTGCTTTTACCTGGTCGATCAGCCTGATTTTCAGGAAGCACCTCAAGCTGGCACAACAGCCTCAGCCAGGTGGGCTTCTTAAGGTGCCAGTGACTTCAGCATTAGAGGGAAGTCACTTTCCTCTGGTGAGAAATAGGGTGGCCAGATTTTGCAAGTAGAAATTCAGGATGCCCAGGTAAATTTGAATTTCAGATAAACAATAGGTATTTTTTTTTAGGTTGGTCTATCTATCTATCTATCTATCATCTATCTAGCTACATGAGGGTACTTCAAAAAGTTTGTTGGAACATAGAATTAAAAGCTAATACAAATCTTTCCATGAACTTTTTGTAGTACCCTCCTATCTATCTATTGATATCTCTCTCTCTCTCTCTTTCTGTCTTAATTATTAAAAGGGGCATACTTATACTAAAACATCATTCATTGTTTATCTGAAACTCAGATTTAACTGGGCGTCCTGTGTTTTATTTGGCAACCTTAGAGGTGGCATAGGACTTTGGAAACACTGAGAAACTGTGCTTTAGGTGTGGACAAGACACCCTGGACCACGGCCACTGACAGTCATCTCGCCTACACACAGTAGAGCCCAGCAGCCTGGCCACAGACAGCCCACAAAAGAGCCCCTAAGCAGGAAAGGAGGAAAAGGGTGCACACCGCATGGAGGCTGAGGATTCATCTACTGACATTTACTTAGTTAGGCATTTACCATGGGTCCACTACTATGACTGAAGAAATGAATGAAATGCTCTCCAAGCCCTGGAAGAAGATGTCGTGGAAATAAACGAAGTGTATGAAGTCTCACCAGTGCACGGATGGCGGTCTAGGGTGGGGGTGCAAAGAAGGAAATAGTCCATTCCATGTGTGGGGCAGGCAAGGAGGAAAGGCTTCAGAGAAGAGGTTAACGCTGATCCGCACTGAAATATGAGCAGGAATGCTCCAGGCACATGAGGAAGGGTAAGGGTCGGCCCTGAGCTGGGTTCCAGAAATGCGCGGGGGAGAGGGAAGGATTGGTTTCTAGAACATTCCACGCAGACAAGGCCGAGTGAGAAGACAGAAGGAGGTGTGAAAGAGAACGGCATGTTTGGGAAACTGCCAACAGGGCCTTGTGCCTGGGTCCCTGAACGTTATGAGGTGCGGCCACATGGTGTGGAAGAGCCTGGAGGTGTAAGCAGGGGCCACGTCTTTGAGGGCCTTGAGTGGCCCCTGCTGGGGTCTTCTCAGCAGCCCTTGCCAGTTGGCCTCTTCCCGGGCCTTCTGTCACTCCAGTCACCGGGTTTTCTTTCTACTTCTCTGAATGCCTCTTGGTTTCTTAACAGGCTTCTTTGCTTTTGGGTTCCCTGAGCGCTGGTATTGGCTTCATTCCATCCTCGCTCTTCTCTTCTCTCTTCTTCCCTGGGGAATTTCCTGACTCTCATGGCTCCGATTACTACCTTCATGTTGACGAGTCTTAAAACTCCCTGTCCCCTGTGCAGCATTTTCTCCTAAGCTCAGGTGGTGTACCCGCCTGCTCCAATTCCAGATGATACGGTGCATGGCTCTGGAAAAGGAGATCACTTCTTTTGAGAATTGAGGAAATAGAGGAGGGTGGATATTGAACCCTTGCCTTCTGCTTCCAAATTCAGTGAGCTTTTTAGCCTGTTTTCCTTCCTTCTGCTTTTGGAAGGTAGACATATGTGACTTCCCTCTCAATCCGTATCACTTGGGGGAGGACGAGGAAGAAGAAAGTGGTGACTTAAATTCCTTAAGTGTCTCCTTTCCTCATTCTTGACCACGGTATCTACCTCTTATTCTCATTTCTGCTTCCTGCTACTCCCTTATACTCTTTATATATTCACACCTTTAAGACAATATTATTTCCCAGATTTAGTTACCCATATTCTGTCTGACAGGATAATTCATGAAGTCTGAGACTGTGGAAGCAGCCCTGGAAAACGATCTAATAGGGAAACTGCAGGAGAACTTCTAGGTCTATTATGCTAAGAGTTTTAACAGGCTTTTGCCAGCAGAGGGAGCCCCAGGACTGGGAGAGAAAGTTCAGAGGGCAGGGGTTTAAAATCAGAGATGGAGGTTTAAGTTTCTGGTTATATTGTCAGCAGTACAGCTGGATTTATGGGTTAAGTTAAGGTAAAAGAGGACGAAAGGGAGGAGAAGGGGAAAGACTCATAACACGCTGCATATACACAGAAACAGTTACATACACACAACACGCGTGTAACCTGATTCTCTCACCCCTCCCTATATACTCACAATTTCTGCTCTAGGCCAGCGGTTCCCAAACCTGGCTGAACCATTTGGGGGACTGAGGGCAGATTCTCAGACCCCACCATGGCCTGTTGAGTCAGACTCATCAAGGGTGGGATCCAGGAATCTGTATTTTTACAAAGCTCCTGAACAAGATTCTTCGCTCGGCCAAACTTCAGTCAGCCTCCTAAAACTTCTTTTAGGCCTATCAGTGCACTTCCTTATAAAATCCAGTTTCAGCAAAGAAACCTCTAAGTCAGTTTAGCAAAAATCCCCATCTTTAATATCTGATTGCCCTGATCAGTTTCCCCCACTTGATGTCTGATCTCCCTGGCCTGTCTGCAGCAAGAATCCTGCCGGGTCAGTGTAGTCAGAACCCCCGCTCCCCCCACCCCCACCCCCCCCCCCCCCC